AAAATACCATCGAGCCAGTTACCGATTTAGTAACGGGATTACTGACAAACGATAGCCCTCCGATATTGCATTATACTCAAGAATTAGCCAGGAAGGAGGTTCAAGTATCATCATCAAGGAAGAAGATTCTGGAATTGGAGGCAACATTGAGAGAGCAACAGAGAGAAGTGCTCCATATGAAAGAACAGCAACATGAGGAAATTAAAAGGTTAAAGGCGCATATCACTAGGTAATAACACAATGTCGAGAAAAGTAATTAATAAAATAAATATTTAAAAAAAACCCCCCTTGATCTAGAATGGCATAAACGTGATTGTAAGAATTTTCTAATCACAGTTGAATATTTTTTTCGTATTCAACGTAATTGGTAAATTCTTACAACTATGTTTACACAATTGTAGATCGGGCTCTACATATAAAATTGATAAAAAAATTTATATTACAGATTGGAAGCGTGTAAGTCAAGAGAAGGTGCTAATCTAGAATACCTGAAGAATGTATTTATAAATTATTTAACGACGAATGATGTATCGAGCAAACGACATATGTTAAATGCCATTTCAACAGTATTGCGTTTTACACCTGATGAGCTGAGTAAAATTAAACATTAAGAATAGATATTTTTTTTATTACACTTCTCACATAAAAAAATAAATACATATGAACGGCTATAAATTCGAAATACCGGGATTAAGTTCCTTCCTGTGCTTTCAATTCCTCTATGAGCCGTTTCCGCTCTTCTGCTCTCCTTAGATTAGCTAATACGGAACTTTCAAGTTCAGCGTCCGACATTCTTGTCTGCTGCGTCTATATATGTATAACATAGAAATGTTACAAAATAAGATTGTGGCAACAGTAATACAATAGTGCAAATAATACATACAAATATATTAGGTGCAGAAGAAAAACTGACAGAAGCACATGGCGTGCTATTGAAACATGTGGTTGTAGGAAATATAGGTTTTCTAATGTCAGGATTTACACTGCTTGCAGCACTAGTTGAACGTTTCTGTGTATCCCATAATCCACGTAATGTTAATGGATTTTGGGCTAAACCGATTTCTGCTAAAAGCGCTGTTTCCTAAAACAAAACATTTTATTAAAGAATTTTGTTGTATAAATTCGGATTGTGTATATACAGTCTTATTGGCTGTATTTAATAGAAGCAACTTTACAACAATTTAAAGATTCTTTGATATAATTGATTTTTATCCTTAGTTTCTCATTGAATTTAAACGTATAAATCGATTATATTAAAGACTCTTACAGCAATTGTAAAACTGCTTTTTCTGCTACACACAGCCATTGTTCCTTTATCAGTATCTTACGAACTTACTGCTGCAATTTTATCTTCAAATTCAATCATGGCACTGCCTTTTTTTGTAGATGATATAACAAGAACCGCTACATCCCCATACTGCAGAACAATAATGATTAAAAAAATATTTAACACATAAAACTAAAAAAATGGAATTAAAACATGATATTACCTTGGAAAACATTTTATGTAAATTATCATAATTATATCCACCATTTGTCAAGTCACCATTTTGTACCTTCCATCTAATTTTGATTCGAAAGTCTCCCACATTAGATGTTGAATCATCTGATGAGCTCTTAAGCTTTTCCAAAAAAAGTTCTCGTGTAAACATCATCTCTTCTTCTATTTGCTTATACCACTCTTGCAATCGTTTTACTTCAGCCTGAATATAATTATATATGTTATATATCTGAATTAACAATCAAAAAGTATCTCAAAGTAATTTTCAACAAAATTAAACTGGTATACCTTTGTTCGTTCCTCCTCACATTTAGGATCAGGTTTAGGATCAAGTGATCTTTTGTAAGCCTCCTCACGTGCCTCCAAGTCTTCCTTTAATTTTTTCCTCTTGGCATCAAACTGTCTAACTCGCTCTTTTGCCTGCTTCCTGGCAGCAATGGCTTGATCATACGCTACCTTGTTTCACAACATATTTTTAACAAATTAGATCATCTATGAGACTTTCTAGAAGTCTAAGAAAACAGATATTTGATGATGAAAATGTTAATGAATTTTGAGAAGATGTTGATATACTTACTCTGGCGTTTGTGTCTGTCAATATTTCCAATACTCTCGAGAGTTCTTGAAATAATTCTGCGGCTCTTGGATTGTCAGGGTTTTTGTCAGGATGGCATGTCAAAGCTTTCTTGCGATATGCCTTCTTGATCTGAAAATACGAACAACATCAAGTGTTTTCTTTCTCAATACTTTCTTATTATAAAATATTTTATTTCATTACAAAAAGCGTAAACATGTTTGTAAAGTAAATCCAAATCCTTGAGAAACAAATTAAAAGTACAAACCTCTGGCATGGAAGCTGTTGGCTCCACACCAAGTAATCCATATAGATCCGTTTGTGTAATTGCATCCATGGTAAAGGTAAAATATAGGGCAATCCTCTTAAAAATCGATTAAATTAGACTCATTCGACGCGTTTTTGCATAAAACGAAAGAATTTCACAGAAATAAGCGTCGCTCTGGCCCGCGAACCGAGATAAAGGTTAGGTAAAGACTTGGTCAGACCGACTATATCGCTATGAGCATGCGCTGTGATCACGTGTGCAAGTTTTTGCTCCCTCTCTCTCTCTCTCTCGTCCGAGCTTATATTTTATTCCTTCCTCTCATCACAGATATAATCTTTTATTCCTCAATTTTGTGATAACACTTCCAATTTTTTTCACAAAACAATATCCTCAAAACGAGTCAGATAAACCTGATATTAAACACTGTTATTATTTAAGTTATTAATCTCACTTTATCCTTAGCCCAACACACGCATTTACACAATTACGCGTGTAAGTGACTTGCGCTTACGTAGATGCATGCATACATGTATTACTAGTGCTATCGATAATGCTTCTATATATGCACGTCGAATAATCGTAGGCTCAAATACAGGATGATTGCGAGAAACCTACTCCGAAATGTTCCACGCTTTCGACGCACTTTGTTGCAGGTATTACACCATATTACACCATGTGTGCCGTAAATGAATAATTACTCATTTGTCCTTGTAATTCATAACAACATACCTAAGTCGAATTTACCACTCATGTTGGTATGCGATTCACGCAAACGCGTTCCTCTAACTGCAGGCCTCTAACATCACTTTTTGACATACTCGCACGACTGGCAATTATTGTTTTCACTGTTTTTCTTTCTTTTTTAAAATGCGATATTCTTGCGCGAGTAAGAATTTGTGTGATTGGTACGATAAATATCCCAAAGTAGCAAAGTAGCAACATATAACATACACTATAGATTTTCAGCATTGGCAGTAAATTTCGAAACACAGCTTAATGACGTCAATAAGACAAATCGCTTATTGACATTAATAAATACATATTGAGAGAGAGAGACATTATTAGGAAGTCATTTGACTTCATCTTGTTACTTGGGATATATTTTGCCATACTTATACATTATACAAAATGTTTAGATATTAATGATAAAAATTCTTATATTTCAAAATAATAGTAGCTAAGTTAAAAAGGGCACATAAAAGAGTCAAATAATAATTTGAAAAGTATAAGAGGTCAAGAACTGAAATATATATTAACGACGCAGAATACAAAACAATTATTACATGTTTCGGCCTCTTAATTAGGCCATCTTCAGATAATCAATGCGCGTAATTTAACTGTACCCGCAGTGAGAAATGGCAATGGAATCGATGTCGAATCGATGTCAATTCGACATCGATTTGAATCGACATCAATTCAATGTCGATTCCATTGTCATTTCTTACTGGGATTATCATAATATAAATTTAAAATAAGAATAATTTGTGTGACGCATGTTTACAGCCAGCGTAGATATAAAAATCAAATATTTTAATTCTTGATCTCTTATATACTTTTCAAATTATCTAACTCTTATGTGCCCTTTTTTAATCTATTATAGTTTTTTTTAAATATTAAGAGTCCTTTATTATTATTATTTATTATTTAATTCTTTTCATATTTTTCAGATATTTTCATAAAAATTTTTCATTTTGAATTTATAAAAATTTCTGGAAGAATTTATTTTAAACTTCAGATTTTATAAATTTTCTTTAAAAATTATAGAATGAAAAGTTTTCAGAACATCTCACAATATTTCAAAACACATAAAATTATTTTAAAAAATCTAAAAAGATGTAGAGTTTTTCAATAGTTTTAATAAATGTTTTAATTTGTATATAAAGTCTGAGCAATTTTTTGAAAAGTTATAAAATTGTACACAAAAATTCTAAAATTTATATAAAAATTTTGAAAATTAAAGAATTCTAAAAAAAATTTTTAGGATAGCTATAATAAATACCGATAAGAACATGCCGTAACAGTCAAGCTGGATCTTGGATGCTTCTAACATATATTTTCGTGTGAATTTTATATACTATGTATGTAGATTCTTAAATGCGCGCCGAAATTGTTTTCAGACTTACAACGCAAACTCTATTAAACTATCATATAGTATTATCACGAGTTAAGGATTTTTTCCGATTGCAGTTGTGTTCAACCTAAAGTAAAAAAAAAACAAATACAAATCATGAAATAAAATTTTTTTGTATTTTAAATTACCCTTATCTATATTTACTAATTATAATTATCAAAATATGCGAGATACTGCACGTAAGTATAAATATCATTTCGACAACGTTTCATACGACGTTGCCAAATCCAAATGTCAATGCCCCCAATCTTCACCACTCATAGCATCTTGGATCTTAATAATGTTGAATGACATTAAAATTTATTTATATATAATTATAGCTATATATAATTATAACAAAATGTAAATAAATCAATAAACAAATAATAAAAATATTAATAAAATAGATGACTTAATATAATAATTAATTTTTCTCTCTTCCTCTTCTTTATTAGTATCTTTTAATTTCCAGATAAAACATTACAGCACCGGTTCAAGCGAGCCGCAATTCATGGGAATCAGTAATACCTTCACCAATAGTATTCAATTCGTCAATGAAGAAAATTATGAACCTATTCCAATATATAGGATTTTGGAATCTTCACAAAAGACTAAATTACCTGAAGATAAAAAGGTTTGATTATTATCACAGTTATAAAAATCACATTGTACAATTTAAAAAAATCTAAGGACATATAAAAATGTATAATAATTTTAAATAACAACAACTCCTGTATAAATCGAATACAAACTCGAAAAGAAAAGGGCACTAGGAGTCAAGCGCAGATAACTTTACGCAATTGCTGATATATTATATATCAAACAAAACTTCTTTATTATAATAATTATGCTAAGGATATATATTTTTTCAAGTCACAACTTCAATTATCATATATGCTTATATTTTGACTTATAATATTTCTATACAAAATTCTATATGTATAGAAAAGAATAAATTGTTTAACTCATACACGCACGCACATATGCACGTATACACACACATACACACACAATAAAGTAATAATATTTAGTATTAATTATAAATAAAATTCTGAATTAAATTAAAAAGTAGACGATACCGAAATAAGGCACAGAAAATCAAATTATTTTTGTGTTACAGTTAAATGAAGTATATCTGGAAAAAATGTATCGCGATATGGTGACCATAAGCATTATGGATAAAATAATGTACGTGTTGCACAGACAGGGTCGTATATCATTTTATATGACCAATACAGGCGAGGAGGCTGTACAAATCGGCTCGGCCGCTGCTTTAACTCTAGAAGATATGATTTACGCACAGTATCGTGAGGCTGGTATGAAATTACATTATGTGTTATCCATCTATTGTTATACACTAAAATCTATTGTTATAATCTAAAATATTGTATATCGACATATGTAACAGGTGTGTTGCTGCATCGTGGGCAACCCTTAGAAAAGTTTATGAATCAATGTTATGGCAATTGCGAGGACGACGGCAAAGGCAGGCAAATGCCGGTACATTATGGTTCTAAAGAATTTAATTTTGTAACTATTTCATCTCCATTAACAACGCAACTTCCACAAGGTATTAACATTTAGAAATTTATCAAATAGTGCCGACAGTTGTTGCTTCACTTCGGTTGTCATAATAAACAAAAAAACGTCCTGACACGAAGATCTTTATTATCATAGCTGTGGGAGCTGCCTATGCCTTTAAATTGGACAAAAAAAACGCATGTGTGGCTTGTTACTTTGGCGATGGTGCAACGAGCGAGGGCGATGCCCATGCGGCGTTCAACTTTGCTGCTACTTTATCATGTCCCGTTATTTTCCTCTGGTAATTGTTTTAAAATCCCTATTCTTATTTTATGAAATAAATGATCATATTATTTCAGTCGAAATAATGGATATGCCATCTCCACGCCAGTCTTGGAACAACTTAAGGGAGACGGTATCGCGGCCAAGGGCCCGGCTTACGGAATTAATACGATCCGAGTGGATGGCAACGATGTACTCGCAATGTACTATGTTACAAAAAGTGCTAGGGAGTTCTGCATAAAGGAACAGAAACCTGTTTTGATAGAAGCCATGACCTACAGGTGTGAACGAATACTAATTAATATATGTTTTTAACTAACGCGATAGCTAAAATCATTAATAAAATAATAATACGTAAAATAAGATTCAAAGCACAGTAATGTCGAGTATGAATCACGATAGTAAGTTAAAATTTTGGTAACTTTCTTACTGGAGTACTTCCTATAAAGCGAAGCTTTTATCTAATTGACAAGTTACACAATGTAAACAATTTTTTTTTTAGAATCGGACATCATAGTACGTCAGATGACTCCACAGCTTATCGATCGATCGACGAGATTTCTCAATGGGACGCTCATTCGCCGCTTGCTAGGTTCCGTCTGTATTTAGAGTCACTTGGATTATGGTGTGAAAAGAGAGAGCAAGAATTAATAGATTCTACTAAGAGAGAAATTTTTCGTGCCTTTGAAGAAGCGGAACGAAAATCTAAGCCACATTGGAGGAATCTGTTTACGGATGTCTACAAAGAAATCCCTGATCACATCAAAAAGCAAATGAGTTTAATGGAGAAACATCTCGAAGAATTCAAAGAACATTATCCATTACAATCTTTCACACAAACAAAATAAGAGAGACTATATCGTATAAATGTGAATTTTATACTCTTTTATTTTAATAATATAAAGCGCTAAACAATTAAACACATATTGTATAAGAGCATTCTTTACTTTTTCTTCTCCTTGCCTTTCATCTCTATTGTTTTATATTGTTCGCAATTTCTTTATATTTTTCCATTCTAAATTCCTTTTTTGCTGCATTAAGCAGTAGATTATGAAGTAAATTTCGTTCATGCGGATTGTACTGTTCTACGCTTGGGTATATGTTACCTGAAAAAAAAATGTAATTGTATAAGTAAAATTTTCATTTGATTTATTAAAGAATTTTTAGAATAAATTCTATACCTCTAAGTTCTAAAATTGCCCTGTTATAGGGGATTGCGGGATATATATTTGGTGCTTTGTGAAGTTTTGTAAATGAGCTGGTATAATTCTGATATCTCGGTACAAGAACTTTGAATAGTTTATGTATCAGTTGCTTTTCCAGTATCCAAAAATTTGCCAAGTCCATTGTTTCCTTATGTGTGGATCCATGGCGTATCGCTTCAAATATCAACTATAAAATAAAACGTCATTATTAGATTTTTAATAATAAATATATATGAAATAAAATTCAGAGACAAATAACATCACAATAATATGGATCAAAATAATTCATTAGAATTATTAATAAACATACAAAATTTTATGACTGCAAGTTAAAGTTGTTAATAAGACCACAATATACAAGATGATACAAAATGTAGAGCAAGATATATCGAGTGTAGGTCGCAACAGCAAGTTAAAAATAAATGAATGCCGATCACAATCGTTCATGCTCTTTGAACTTGTTGAGAAAGAAACGTGTCTTTGTTATAATAAACATCGTGTCTATCTGCTGAATAATACAATGCAAATATATTAATGCACATGCCTGATCAACATAACCCCTGGTTTCATCAGCTCTTTGATAATTTAACTCGAGTCGCTCGTATTTAATCAATGCCGTCAGGGTTTTTTGGAATTTGCGAAGTCGTCCTTCTGGACCGTCGATGTTTCGGAACTTCCGACGTGGCTTGACATTGTACCTTAATTTATTTACTAAATTCTCGACGTTTGCTTGATTCATGTTCACCGACCATTACCAATGTTTATTCCGAGTGACGTGATCCGGTTTGCTCTGAATCAAGAGATCCAGCGGATTCAACAGCTGTGCGAATATTTGCTGTTATTGGTGTAGTTTTCTAGGTTGTCCAATCAGATGCGTAGATTTAAAAGAATACACCATTAAAACCCATTCTACAATGGGCAGTAGCTAGTGGATTAAGGGTTGGATTATACTGGCCGTAATCTGTTAACTTATGCTGTAATCTGTAAAAATTGACCAATCGTAATCGATTATTCTCCTCATAATCGATTACGATTGGTAAATTTTTACGGCTTACGGTCAATGTAGAATAGACTTTAAACGTAAACTTAAGCCGATAAGCTAATCAGGATATTGCTTTAAGTTACGTAATTTAACGGAAATGGAAAATAAACAGTGAACTTATCGCATAACCTCGCAACATGACGAGTTTCAACCGGTTGAAATTTGCCATATTGCGAATACTTGCAAGGTTATGGATAAGTTTACTGTTAGTTTCCATTTCCGTTAGATTGCATGACCTAAAACAATATCCTGATTGGCTCATCGATTTAGGTTTACGTCATAGACTGGATTCACACTGCATCCGACTTTTGTCGTACGACGACTCTGCAACCAATCAGAAAACAAGATTTTGCAAAGTATCGATGATACGATTTTTCTGATTGGTTGCAGCATACGATATCCAATAGGAGAGCTTGTTTTCTAAATATATAGCTAACAATATTTTGTCGTACGATGATTCTCTCTTGTCGTATATATCTAGAAAATAAGCTCTTCTATTGAATATCGTACTGTCGTATATCGGATGTCGTACGCAGTGTGAATCCTATTTTAGATCTTATTAAATTTTATTAAAAATTTTTTTATATAGATATAAATTAAATACTTATTAGATACAATTTTTCGAAAAATTTTAGATTGAATATTATTTCAATATTTGTATTGAAAATAATTTTTTTTCCCAAAGTGCAAATTGTATAAACAATTATGAAAGGATAAATGATATATAAGGCTCTTTTATTTGTTAACTTTACAGAAATATTACATGACAAAAAGTCGGCACGATGCGATTGAAGACACTATACTTCACTGTCTTTTATTTGTTCTTTCAAAATTACAATATAACAGATGAGACATATTAAAGATAATAACACTTTTAATACGACTGCATTTTCGGCAACGTATGTAATAACTAATAACAAATAATTTCATGCTCAATTTTTCTCTCAATCATTTATTCACGAAGCGAACATAATGACGGGATCGTTTTCTTTTTGTAAAACGAAGTGCTATCACCACCATTACCGCAACATATATTCAATAATAAAATGTCACGCGATACCACAGAATATGTGTTGGCTTTTACTAAAAATTACCAAAAGGAACGATGTGTATATCAGTGTGTGTGTGTGTGTGTGTGTGTAAAAGGTGGACTAGACCGACAAATGTTGCAATTCAATGTTCTTTCATTGAGCAATTCAAATTTATATTTACTCTAAATTTTTTTACACCGCAACTCTGCCAGAGTTACTCCAATTAAAGGAATAGTTACATATGATCAATTCACGCAAGTTCTTGTTCAATAGAAGTCATTTGTCCGCAATTTGCGTACAAGTCTCGTGACGTATGGAGTTGCGCTAATAAATAATTGAGCGGGGAAACTCGAGTGATTAATTTTTTTTAGTTGGTTGGGCTATTTCTGTATGTGTCCTTGTATGCGTGCACATGTAAATTTGTAATAGAATGGCCTATCGCTGAACGGGTGGTGCCATTGGAAGACCCGTGGTGTTAACGCCAGACAGAGCTGTGTTAGGGCCTAATAGAACTTGCTTCTGCTGCGTCCGTTGCAGGTCTTCCATCTGTGCACGTTCCATCTCAAAGATAATTGGTGCGAAAAGAATTGTGGATGAACTGAAGACTAGCCATGTGGCTGAACACGAATACGCATATAGACCTGCAAAGATATATTCATATACATTCCATAACCTTCCTTGTTTTATCAGTTGCTAGCTTTATTATGTATCTTAAAAAATACATTTGTATATCTTGAGATTTAAATCCTACTATATAATTTTGCTTTCTGTTTCTTACTTTTTAATTCTTGTCTTTTCTTCTCTTTAAAACTGTTTTATCAACATTTGTTTTACTGACAGTCGTTACTTATCTCTTCCGAAATTCATCAACTTTTATCTCGAGTGATAAAAATGACAAAAGGGTGAAAGTAAAAAATGATAAAAAGCAAGAAACAGAAAGCAAAGAGTACATTATAAATTAGGCTTAAGAGAATAATGTTACCTTTGATACATGTGTATAGGCAGGTTCCAACATTGTATCCAAAGTTGCGTACTGGCTCAGGAAACATTTCAGTAAGTCCGAATAATCTTTCTGTTAAGCTCTCATCCTGAATCGAAAGGAATAATTTCATTAATTCTTAAATGATAAAATAAATGATAGAAAGGTAGCAACTGCTTCGTTACTATTTAAAAAGGAAGCAACAAAATGTTATACTCATAAGACTCATTATTTTATAATCTTAGATAAGGAAAGCAACAAAATCATATTCATACAACTTTAATCTTAGATAATTAAGCAAAAAGCATACATATGCATAGATAATACAATTATAAATATTGGTACCAAACAAGAGAGACAGAAAGCCAGGTTTTCTCTTATCATTAAATAATACTTCTCAGTGATCTTGAGTATCACGAGTTGAGGAAGATCACAGGGGATTCTGAAAATTCTTACTGATCCCTCAGGACATTCTAGACCTTACAAACGTCGTGGTGGAAGGCTACGAGTCTGTCCTACAAGCGATCATCTTTTTTTCCCCTGTATAAAAAAACGCTCTCGTCCGTACCTCCTCATCGTCGTCCTCGTCGTCGGGGAGGAGCGACTTCACCTCGGGAGAGCGCGCGTCGCTGCTACCCATGCCGCTGTCGACCTGATGATCTAGCTCCTCAACTGAAGCCATATACAAGATTAACGCGTGGCCGAGACTCGAGAAAGATTCTCGCTCACGTCGAGCAGCACGTTCACGGCACAGAGCGCGGTCTGCGCGGTCCACTCGCACGTTCTCCCTTTCTCTCTCGCGCGCTACAGAGAGAAAGAGAGACAGCGAAAAAGTACAGCCTCAGCCGGTAATACGCCGGTTTATACAACGCGACTCAAGTTTCGTACACGAAGCGCGTGATACGAAAACCGCGTGGGACGGGGAACGGATTTCCGACCATACCTGTGGTTTTGGTTTGAGGCGAGGTTCCCCGTACCGCTATCCACGCCGCCATTCTCCCACGAGGACGATCTCGATGACGCTCGATGATGATGATGATGATGATTCGATAATCGCGCGCCCGTTGAACTTTTTGTGCGTGCGAAGGAGGGGAACCGGACGAAGAATGGCGTGAAGCTCGCGCGTATCAAGTTCGAGTTATATAATTTTGCGCGCGACAAACAGTGATGCTCAAATATGTACAAATTCTTTTTTTTACACTTTACCTGAAATTTTGATTCAAGAATATCTTTAAACAAATTGACGAATTATATATATTGATGGAATACATGGAATATGTGCGGATGAAGAGTCGACATTTATATTTATTGGTATTATTTAATACTGCAGAAAAAATTATTTATAAAGTTTAATTTAAATCTTTTCGTACGTTTCGTCTTTCTTTTTCCTTGAATATTTAATTATGTATATATATTGATCTATTAAGTACAGAAAAAATTAAATATGTCAAATTACACAAAGATCTGTTGCTTGGACTTTTTCTCGGACTTTTTGCACTCAGCATCTTTTCGTTTTCTCTTTTTTCTCAACGTGTAAATATATATGTCTCATTTTGAGTTTAAAAATTTGTGGAGATCAAGTAACGCGCACAGATCTACAACAGTACAGCTGTGAAGAGAATTGTCGAAAGTTTAAAACGCATTGAGAACACCTTCGTAGAATGATATAAACTCAGCCGTGATAAGATATGTGACTCGCACATGAATGGATTACAAAATATTTTACGCGAGCCAATCGTAGCATCAGAAACCGATTTCTGTGAGAAAAGTGAATTTATGCATGATCAATTAAATTTAAAAAATAGTTCAATATGTCTACACAGTAATTAAACTCAATTATTATTACCATCGTATTATATATATAGACATAATAATAAATGTATAATATTTTTGTAATAGAATTAAGAAAGTTTATATTTTTCTAGAATTATATATAAATTCTAAAAATTTTCATTTTCTTATTTTCGAGGGAAACTTACAAAATCTAGAATATATAATTTAAGTAATTTTTTTTTTAATAATTAATCTTTATGAAATTAAAAATATAATAATTCTTAAAGATAATTTAAAGGTAATTAAAGATAAAAACATTTAAGATTAAAAATTAAAGATTTTTTTTTTATTTTAAAGATAATGATTTTTAAAGACAATTTTTTTATTTTTTAAGATAATTATTTTTTAAATCGCTTTATAATTTGAAAATATAACAATATTTTTACCAGAGTTAACTTCAATAAAATTACATTTAATAAGCGTATTAATGTCAGGTAATATAATATGTAATAACAAATAATAATTAAAAGCAGTGTTAAAATATATATGCATGTTTCTTTCTCACACAGTCTGATGCATAAATACATAGACAGCGTAGATAGGAAACACACGCCTCGAATATGCCTCGAATAGGTGCGCACTTCACGTGTCACATTTACATCAATTAACACATATCTCATATATCGAGAGTGCACGAATGCGAGGAAATTCCCTCTCGATTCTGCAGATACATTTGAACATTTAAATATTAGGAAGACATGCCGCGCCTTGTGCGGAAATACTTTATTCTTTTTTCTCATTCACATATAAGAACGAAACGCCGATCGTCGCGCCGGGGCCGGAGGATCGGTCCCCCATTCCCACGACGCCGGTTTCGTGTCCGCGGGACTCACGTTCTCGTTCCCGACAATCCCGAGAGTCACGGACTGGTCGTCGCGGCACGACGAGATCGAAAAGGGCATGAACACGCCTTCGGCGGAGTGAAACGCCGCGCGCCGTCCGCTCCGGATTGCTCCGGACCGCGAGACACGGTTAAAGTGCCGTCCCCTGCGCGGCACATCCGCAGCCGTCGTCATCGTCAACCGTGTCTCGATACTCCCAGAATCAGATCCCAGTCGTGATGTGCGTCATGCCGGTGTCCGAGCGCGCTCAATCGAGACCCTGCGACAGTTGAGGCAGTCAAAGCGCGAGTCCTGGATTCCGGACGATCCCGGTCGCGCGGTGACGCATGGCGCGATAAAGTGCGGCGGGGACCAGCGGAGACACTGCGTGCAGACGATCTGCGTGCTGATTTGGCCAACGGATGAACGCGGCGCGCCGACACTTATGACTTAGCGGGACCCCGTTTCTGAGACGTGATTCTCGTGCTCCGGGCGACACAAGTCCTCGTCGTCGTCGTCGTGCAGCAGTCGACCGGTAGACGCGATGGCGAACACCGGGGTGCTGCCGTTCGTGCGAGGCGTGGACTTCAGCAGCAACGACTTTGGCGTGAGTATCGCCGGAGATTTCCGTAGAGGTTAACCTCGCGTGAAATCACACGCGAAAAAGAATCTCTGAAACACCCTTCAGTATTATGTCTCCGATTTTGTTTAGGATTTAAAAAGATTTTATTTTGTTAATATTTAATTAACTTTTTTTTTAACACTTAATAGTAATAACTTTTATTAAGTGTAATTTTTATCTCTGCTCCAGTAAAAAAGATAAATAAAAACTGAATGACATGTCACTTTCGCTCTATCAATATTTTACAATTTGATTGAGATAAGATTTAGAATTGGTTAACTGTAGTAAAGATTGTGTTTTGGTACTTCTAGGATGGCAAATTTCCTGAATCCGTACGTCTTATGACTGGAATACAATGGCTGAAATTAGACAAAACAAATTTGATGGAGATCCCAGAGGAGATGGGCAAATTATTGAAACTGGTAAAGCATTAAAAAATTGTAACAATATTTATTCACATATACAAAATATATTATCATTGTTCCTTGCATGAATTTTAATGGAAAAAGATTTATATTGAGTTATTTAAGTAATTAGGATAATATTAATGCATTTAATCATCCATCAGGAACATCTGTCACTTGTTAAAAATAAATTAGAACGTTTATATGGAGAATTGACAGAATTAGGCTGTCTCAGGACTCTGAATATAAGGCATAATAATATCAAATCCAGTGGTATCCCGGCAGAATTGTTTCATTTAGAGGAATTGACAACCTTAGATTTAAGTCACAACAATTTGAAAGAGATACCTGAAGGCCTAGAAAGAGCACGTTCCTTGCTCAATCTTAATTTAAGCCATAATCAGTATGTATTGACAACTGTATGTTACTAGACCATGGAGAAATTATCAAGCAAGTTCTAATATTATTTTTATTCTTTCAGTATTGAAACGATACCAAATACATTGTTCATTCACTTGACAGATTTATTGTTTTTGGATCTTAGTCACAATAAACTGGAAACAGTGCCACCACAGACTCGACGTTTGGCTAATTTACAGGCTTTAAATCTGAATCATAACCCCTTAGGTCATTTCCAATTAAGGTAGGAGACAAAATTTTCATGTCAAAATTTGGAATATTTTTTTCCAAGAAGAATTTCTTAATTTTTGGATTTAATAGTAATAATTATTGCATCTTAAATTATTTACAATATAAATTAACTAATAAAAAATGTCGAAATTTTCGTATGTGTTGGGACTCACAAGTCCTTTTTCAGCGATTCTTAACAGATATTTAATTGTTGGATAGATAGTATTCTTATGTATAGTGTTACAGACATATTGATATATCATAATTCAGATTGATTTTCCTGTTCTCAAGTGTATTGTAAAGGCATGTGAGACAGGACCATCATTACACGTTCGTCCGATCGAGTTGAACGCAGATGTTACAATTGTAACAAATCCATTTAGCTCGATCTAGACCAATTTAATTATTTAATTTACATTGCAAAAAACGAGCGACATTTATTAATTTTTCTCATATTATTTCAGACAATTGCCATCATTAATGAATTTAACAACGTTACAAATGCGGGACACACAACGAACATTGAATAATATACCTTCTAGTCTAGAAACGTTAACTAATTTGCAAGAGTTAGATTTGTCACAAAACAATTTACCCCGAGTGCCTGATGCGCTTTATTCCTTGTCGAATTTGCGCCGTTTAAATTTGAGTGACAATCAAATAATGGAATTATCAACAGCGATCGGTGAATATATTGAACTTTTACAATTGTCTTAGTCATATAGTTTTTTACGAATTAATAAAAAGATATCTTTTAGAACTATGGATGAGATTGGAGATTCTGAACGTATCGCGAAACAAATTAAGTGCAATACCAGCCGCTGTATGCAAGATTTCCACATTAAGAAGATTGTATTTAAACGATAATGAATTAGATTTTGAGGGCATACCTTCTGGAATAGGAAAATTATCGTCTTTGCAGGTTTTCTCTGCTGCTAACAATCATTTAGAGATGATACCAGAAGGATTATGCAGGTGAATTATTTTTTTTTATATCGTTTTACTGTAAGGGAAATAAAAATCTTTTTTTTTTTTAAATAAAATATTGCTAAAATAAATATATATATATTTTAGATGTGGCTCATTAAAGCAATTAATATTAACGTCAAACCGATTGATTACTGTACCGGATGCCATTCATCTTCTCACCGATTTAGAACAGTTAGATTTGCGAGACAATCCGAATTTAGTGATGCCACCAAAACCGACAGAAGTACAAAGAGGATCGGGCATCGAATTTTATAATATTGATTTCTCCTTGCAGCATCAGTTGCGTCTTGCTGGCGCTAATGTACCAGCTCCAGTTCAAGCCGCCAGTATGTATTATGAGCATCAGAAGACATAAAACGGAAAAGTCTATTATTTTGTATGTAAATAAAAGCACGTTTTTCAATTATAGACAGTAAGGATCCAATTGCGCGTAAAATGAGATTAAGAAGAAGGAGAGATCAGGAGGAAGCCGATCAAGATCAGGCAAAAATTCTTAAGGTACCGTCATTGTCTTATTAGTCACATTGCAATTGTTTATATGCGAAGAAACTTACAATTACGATTGCTTTTATAGGGCATGAAGGACATAGCAAAAGAGAAAAACAAGGATAAGGAATGTGAGGAATCGAAAGCAGAATCCCTGAAGTGAGTATAGAATTATGAACTTCTTGATGTATGTCACTTTTGTTTTCCGATG